CTTCAGGTATAATATAACGTATGACCCCAGCTGTCTTCTCTATCGCTATTTGCAGCAATCGCTTTCAGGGATGAGCAGCAGTGTTTCATTCATAAAAAAAAAAAAAAAAAAAAAAGAAAGTCTTTGGTGCAATAAAACATCATAATCAGCAGGACAGCAGTGTTTATGACACCTGCCAAGCACCTCAACAACTTTAATTATCATTACAATCAAGCACTCAGTCCTTTTTATGCAGCTTTTATAGCACTGGTGATATTATGGACTAGTCTGACTGTAAAATGTACATCTTGCATTACAATCATTTTTATGCTCATGGAAGAAAAGACATTAGTGACTTGCACATAGAAAAGAAAAATACTATATATATATATATATATATGTGTGTGTGCATTTGTTTTACTAAAGCGTAAAATATCTTTACATGTTCTTCATATCCTTTTTATGGATTATTGCGAGGCACAATCGTTTTTCTTGATTTAAATGAAATTGTTATCACAACCTTTCATTCTTTTTAGATTAAAAGTTCACAGAAAGAGTTAGCTGAAAATATTGCTATTGATATCTAAAGTAGGTCAAACTATATCTTCCGAAGTGAAGAGCAGGAATTGGCAGACGTATCTTGTCGAGGGTCGCAGTCCTGTGTTTTTTTTATTTATTTATTTTTTTTAAACAGCCTCAAACATAAAAACGTGCCAAGTGCTGTCTGGAGGTTTGCTGTGTTTGTGTGTGAACCATATGGTACCTAAACAAACACAAACACATCAGGCAAAACTAGTGCCTTACATATGTGTCGTCATATTCACATGAACATAAAGGAGGGAGGTACCTGTGCTGGAACACACACTGTGACAGTGGTTCACACCCTAAATTTCCCAAAGGGAACTTCGGAGGGATTTATAAAGTGCTTGCTTGCTCGCTAGCTAGCTATCTATCTATCCATCCATCTATCTATCCATCCATCTATCTATCCATCCATCTATCTATCCATCCATCTATCTATCCATCCATCTATCTATCCATCCATCTATCTATCCATCCATCTATCTATCCATCCATCTATCTATCCATCCATCTATCTATCCATCCATCTATCTATCCATCCATCTATCTATCCATCCATCATCTATGCATCTGATGTTCTTTTAGGCTCTTAAGTTTTCTGCTTTTAAAGTTATGTCACTCCGAGACCTAGCCAAAAAAAAAAAAAAAAAAAGATATCATTGGTCTACTGCTTTAGCCTTTTTGCCTAGGACTAACTCTCAAATCTTTCTGAACATGGATCGTGGGAATAGCTGCAGGTCTTCTGCAAATTTCTGGACCATCTCTTTGTAACAGTTGGCTCACTTGATTGCAATCATCTCATCATTTACATCAGAGTGCTGGGTCTCGCCGTCCTAATCATAACGTCCATTAAATCTGAGTTATATCAGAGCTTACGAATGTCTAACTACTGTCTGCCAAAGACGACATCATTATCAAGTCTACCGCTGAGCCACACATACCAAGGAAATGCAGGTTACATGGGCAATTGAACTCACGATGCTGTACATTTGTTGCCTGTTTTGTTGAAAAAAAAAAACATGGTGGTGTAAAGAAATTAAAAATTGAATCTATATATATAATAATAACAAAGATAGCTCTCTACTTCTTTTCCACTTTGTGGAATTTGTGGCAGATGTCTATCCACCAGTTTGGAAAAAGACATTATTTTCAAAGCTTGAATCAGTCCAACATTTTGAATTCTAATTTGCTTTAAATTTGATTTTCTCTTTTGCTTTTTAAATTACAATCTTTTTTCTAATTTCTTACTTTCTAACCTGATTAAATAAAATGTAAGACATTTAACAAAATGGCAACGGGAAAGGTTTTCAAGATGCCTGAAAGATGCCTTTAACAGGTTTAATGCTTTTAAAAAAATTTGACCTAATAAAATGATGACAAATCTTTTGGACTGCTATGTGCTACTATTCTACGACAGTTTCACATGTAAGTGATGTGACTGAAAAAAAGGGAAAACAGAAGAAATGTTCCTTGACGATACACTAACAAAAAATCCTAAACAAATTTACAGTAAAAACATGTCATTCATAAAAACAAGCCGTCGAAGGTTGTCTTTTGAGCGGGCGGCTTTTAAATCAGCCACTGAATAAGCCGTGAATGAAACAAAGCCTTGGGTTTTCCTTCAGCAGGTTCAGTTGCATTTCCCTGAACATTGTCACCTTTTGCTGTCACAAGAACATTGTTGCCATGTTGAAAACTGGGAGTACAGTGAAGTAAGTGTATCCTCCTTTGCAGGACTGTAAAAATGATGTTGTTACTGAGAGAGAACGTCACACAGCAGACAAGTGGAAAGGGTATGATTCATAGCAGAGGAGCTGCAGAAGGAGCTGGTAGCTCTTTGTTGGATAACAGTGAACCAGTGTAGGAGAGCAGTCAGGGACTTCCAGAAAAATGTGGGGTTCAAGATGCTGACTATTCACAACTGGCTTCTGAGTGTTTCAGGTCTTTTGCAGTGATATTTAGATGTCCATCCATTCATTCATCTTTTACCAATTAAACTTAAAAAGGTCATGAAGAAAGATAGAGTCAATCCCAGCAGTCATCGGGTGACAGGAACACCCCACACACAAAGAACAAACAAACACTCACTATCAAAGCCCTATCTATGGTCCAGTTAGAGGCTAATTTACTCTAATCCAATATCTGCGTGAATGCTGCTGGACCATGGACAGAGGGTGAGGACATGAAGAAAATCCCCCACAAAAAAGTCTACAGAATGTGGATACAGTGTGTGGGCTCAGTAGCCCTATGCATGAGAATTTCTCAGGACATTTATGAGACAGTAAAGAGTGCAAGTAAAGTCACCAATGTTAAAAACAAAAACATTGTCTACAGACTTAGCCAACCATAGTTCTTTGGCAGTTCAAATGGCAATAATCGGAATGGATCAACGATAAAGGTAGATTGGCTGATCACATCCTTGGGAGATGTGTAGTGCCTGTTAGCAGAAACAGTAAAAGTAAGCAAAAAAGTACAACTGGGAAAAAGGTAGAACACTGAGGTGAGATATCGCAACGTCTTCTTAGAGACCTCCACACTTGTTTCCTGTGGCCTATATTTCTATATTTGCAGCTAAAGTAGTTTAAGAGCTGAATTAACAAAGTCATCTCCATAAATGACCCAATGCATGGACACAATTCCAAAGATTAGCAGCTCAGCTAAGTATACTGTCAGATGTGAACCTTAAGACTTAAAATATAACTTTGGAAGTGGGAGGAGACAGGAGGTGAAGCAGCTTACTGACCTTACCATAAAACCCCAGTGTAGACCACATTCTGGTTAAGAATTTTAAATGATAGTTGTCTAACTTTCATTTTGACATTTAAAAAGATTTATTTTTAATATGAAGAGCTAATGTTGATAACAATGCTGCTAGACATAGTCATCTAAACTCAACTGACTGCAAGGTCACTACAGCATGAAGCCACAAATCCTTCTGAATACAAGACTTACTGTAGGAAACAGATAGTGTGGTTGTTCAGTTGTGTGATATTTCCTTCCTGTCCTTGTTTGTTAGGTGCAGTTTTATAATGCAACTCTTCATTTTGTTTCCCCAGAATGCACTTTGAACAGAAAATCACAGCTGCTGTTTCCAGATCAATTAAGCTGCATATTTTAACAATCAAATATTTCTGTATTATCTCTGTGCGCTTTTATCTCTGCTTTCCCTGGAAGCTCTCTTGAATTCAGG